CTAAAAGTCCTAAGCAAACTGAGCGTCTTAAAGATGTACAAGAAAAATGCTGATACCCAACAATTTATCAAGTAACACCTATTATGCCAAATAGCTTATTAATTTTTAAAGACAAAGTTACTAATATCATATAAATATATATATATCTTACCTATATTTTATAATTCATCCGGTTTAAAAATAGAAAAATATTCTATATTACGCTCAAGAAACAACATTTGTTCGACCATATCAGGCTGAAGCCTGTTATGCAATACTGTTATATGTTGTCCGGCATCTGAAAACAAGCATTCAGAAGGAACCGATATAGCTGGTACTGATAAATATTTTCTGGCCAGGTTCGATAAGATGAGAAATTTTTCTGTATTGTCTTGCCACCATGTTAATAGATCACTTACTCTTTTTTGAATAGGTTCGTGAAGATAACAATCAACCTCAGTCTCTTCATAAGTATTATCCGATTCTTCATTATTATACAAGTCTGAAACTAAGTCATTAGTTATTGCAGGATTAGAAGCTAACATACTAGATGACTCAGCAAACCTATGATTTTTGGAATTTTTTCAGCCAAAGGTTGGCGATACTCTTCATCAGTACAAAGTCTCCATACTATGTTGATTGTGATTCACTTTATATTTTCATCATTAATAAATTTTAAGTTTTTATTCGCAGGTCCAAAAATGACGCAATAAGCCCAGTTTCCTCTAAAACTTCCCAATACTCTTGGAGAGAAAGATAACTTGCTGTCTTGACCAGATCATATAACCCTTCAGTATCAACAGCTCTATTGAACAACAATTTTTAAAACGTAAATCATTATATTTTTTATGAATATCTTTTGAACTTTTTTTTGATTTTGTTATTTTCTTCGTTCTTGCGATATATGTAGCGATTGTCGAAGGTTTTCTGAAATTACAGACATTTCATCATTAAATTTATCAGAATTTTCATCATTAGTAATTAACTGACTTTGATTATCATTTATTTGTTCCCTAGGTTCAAACAATAAATCGGCATAATCATCTTTAGTTTGTTCATCTGAGAGTGCAAACTTTTTAATAAACAATCTCATTATGGGATAAATAAGATTCAGTGTAGGATAGGTTGAGCCAGAAAATATAGTGATAGCTTCATAGAACGGCTTTAGTAAGCAGATAAGTTCATCTAACAATCTCTATTCACTATCAGTTAAATTTACTAAATTCAAATATTCTCTATCAAGGCGGTTGCATCATTCTAATTCAGATTGTAACATAATAACAAGATAATTGATTGCTTTTCATAATTCTTTAAGTCAAATCCAAGCTAAATATGAGAAATTCCACCTCGTTGCTACATTCTCTGTTACTTGATAAATTGTTGGGTATCAGCATTTTTCTTGTACATCTTTAAGACGCTCAGTTTGCTTAGGACTTTTAG